TATATTTTTCTGTGTTTGTGGTGCAGTCACCCTTCAGGCTCTTGTGGCTTCCAGTCACTTAATTATYCTCTTGGGACCTCAGTTACTGCCTCTGAGTGGGCTGATACRTCCCCATTTAGGTATTTCACAGATGAAAGGAGTGATATGATAATTACTACAGTACCATCGTGCTGCAAATGGACTGCCTGTGCTTGCTTACCTACCACAGATTTAATCCATGGGCATAACAGTCTTCTCTTTGTGTTTTCACAGCCTGACTCTTCAAAGGAAGACCTTTTGTTTTCATCCAGGATGATAAATGGGTTTTAGCTTTATTTTCTCAGAGGGAAGCTTATGTGATTGTACTGTCTGTCATCTGTCTACACYGATAAGTTTTTAACTGCCATAGCCAATTATAATTATTTCCAAAGACAAAAACTGCCAGAGGCAGACATCTCCATGATAATTATATTTCTATGGATTTTGTGAAAGATGGCAGCAGACTAGGTTGGGGCTAAGGAGGWGGAGGGAGAGGACAAAGCACAAGACCACACTGAGAGTCTGCCATGCCAAGGAAGTCTGGGAGGCCTCAGCTGATCCTCAGCCCATCSTGGCTGAAGGCAGCCAGCCAGCCAGTCTGCAGCACTGGAGAGTCAGTGGGCATGGGTGTCTCTCCAGACATCTCACCAGACAAACCATTCTTGCCCATGGGTGATTTCACAGGGGACATCACTGWGGCTGCAGCTGCTGCGGTGCAGAGGGGGAGCAGGAGCAGACCTTGATTCTGCTGGCCGTGATGCAGGAAGCAGACCTTGTTGTTTTGATGTAGGCAGCTGCACTGTTTTGCCCTGGGCCTGTATTTGCAAGCTGCAAAACCTGAGTGGCGGCCGGGCTGGGCTGGTAGATGCCCCCCCGGCAGGATGGATGGGCAAAGTGCAAGGCACGGTCAGCATATGCTCCATGCTGTGACTAATTGAACATAATGGGTGCATTGCTAACAAAGGCTTGTAGTGTGGGGGACAGTGTATTCTCTGTGCTCAGAGACCTGCCAGCCACTAATGAAAGCTGCTAAGGCCAGCTTTGTAAATGCTTTTAGGTGACTGAGCCAGATATTTGAAGACAGGTAGAGCCTAATTCTCTCTGACATCAAAAGGGACTCTGACTTGCACTGAATGGGAATTCATGTCTTTAAACAGCGTTAAAACTCCGAACATTTCTGCTTAAATATTTTAGAAGAATTGACCCTCTATTTGAGTGAATCTTGCCTGAAATGAGAGGTTTCTGGAACCCTTGAGAAYTGAGTAATTGAACTCAACCATTCCCAGAAATGATACATACTGCTCCACCATTACAGGATGTTCTTGGAAGGAACAAAATGCCTCAGGTGAAAGCAGATCACCTCCTTCACTGCCTAGCTACCATGGCATGTAATTACTTCTGGTTTGTCAATAACCTGGTCCAACTCTCCAGGTCTCACCTAAGTGGAGGGCAGCAGCATGTACCCCCCAGGTTGCCCTACCCAGCTGTCTCAGCTGTGGCCTGGAGCGGTTCAGTGACCTTGAACACAAATCTGMATTAAGGAACCATCACGGCAGGAGACTTTCCCAGGCTGGAGTTTCACCCCCTGCTAAGTCACTAATGTCACTAAGTTGCCTGATGAGTCCCAGCAGCTACAGCAGCAGGTGAAGAACAGCAGCAGGTGAAGAAATGAAATGCAAAAAAATGCATTCAAATACATAACAGGAGTAGAAAGAGAGTAAGTGAAGAAGGGGAGGATGGGAGCATGAAAGAAGCACTGTTTCCCTAAAATAATTTGTTTTGAAATGGAGGAAAAATGACTGCATTTTAGCCCTACCAAACAGCTGTGAAAGGTTAACACTTCTTCACAGCATTGCTTTATTTTTGCCGACGTCTTCAGCAACTATTACTCAAAGTTAATTCAGGCTAAGGCTCTTGGGAACTTATTTAATGTGCCAGTGCTTGGAAGTCCATTAATATTTATAAATGTCACTTGAAATCCATTTTTACCTTCTTACCCAGGCAGGAGCACTTGTAAGAAGAAAATATTGTTGCTTTTCTTTTCCTTTTTTCARTATTTTTCCCCTGTGTTTTTGTTGTTAGTTTTGGGGTTTTTTTTTTAGAACTGTAGTAAGTTCAGGGTTGAGCCTGCTCTAAAAATGTCATATTCTATAGAGCTRTGATACATAGTTTTGCTGGCCTGCCTATGCCCCCAAGAAGGGCCTGASAGTTAGATGTTAGGCCTGGAAAAATGGAGATGGTGTCTATTCTCAGCTCTGCCACTGGCTAATTATGCAACCTTAGTCAGTTCATTTAACCTCGGCATGCTTAGGTTTCCAGATCAGAAGCGAAAGGGATAAAAGGCTCCTCTGTGAATGCTTTGTGGTGCCTGAGGGCAACAGGGTACTACCCAAAACTTTGCTGCCCTGTGAGCTCTGGGTGTGGGTGGTTTCTGTGTTAGGATAGGGTACCTACAGAGAGTGAGTCCAGCAACACGGATGGAGGCCTGGCCACTGCATTTCTTGCCAAGGGAGACAGCCCTCACAGTCGGTTTGACAAATCACAGCTACAGACACCCTTTGCTTTAGGCACTCAGGCTTTTATGTCACTCTTCAGCAGTTTCCTGCCAGCCACAGCAGGCACTGCCTCCTGTACATTTGCTTTTATATGTCATTGCTGCCTGCCACAGCTTCGCTTGCTGACCCTAGAGAGTGATCAATGGCACTCCAAAGAGYTGTAAACCAGTATAAAATGGCAGATCAGTGCCTAGTAGTGGTAATAAAATAAGCTGACAAATTTAAAGACCAGAAGTGTGCCTTGGAAGTCATAAATGAGACTCAGGCAGTTTTCAAAATGTATGGCCTCTTACTTTTGGAGCACTTGGACTTAGTTCACAAGTCAGCATTGAAGGTGTGGTTTTCATAGCTGCTGGGATGTATTTCTCTATTGAGCTTCTACAGCATGCATCAGTGAAGAGAGATAGTGCTGGGCAAGTGATGTTAGAAAGTGGTTAAAAACATGTGTTACAGCAGGGTTTGCTTTGTGTTCCTGATTCGGAATGGAAAGCAGAGCTGCCTTGTCCTTGTTTCAGTGAGCATCTGAACTGCCTTGTACTGCACAATCCTGCTGCCTGAAACCATCARCAAGCAGAGGCATTGCAGGCATCTCTCAGCAGCAGAAGGCAGAGCATTACAAGGCAAAGTATTTGCAGGTGCACACCTAGCTGCATGGCACAACCACCTCCAACATGATCAGGGAAACTGCMAAGTGTTATCTTTGAGGGATTTGTRAGACCCGGCTCAGGAGYRCAGGGGCAGCAGCACCTGAGAGAGCAGTGCTCTCCCACGCAAGGATCTTGGCCGTATGAAATTTCCCATGCACRCTGTTTTACTTCTAGGCCAGTGTGGGTGTGCTGTGTGTTACCTTAGCAACAGGAACAAGTGCGTGCTGCAGCTGTAGCCTTCTTCCCTTAGCAGCAGGAGAGCATCCCCAGTTATCTTAGAGAAAACACTGCGCAGCTCCCCACAGAGGGGACCCCGGTACCTGTGGCTATCACCGTGTTTGCGCTCAGGGCACAGACAGATATGAGCTACTGCTGACGCAGCCATGTCTTCCCTGCCATCCTGTGCTCCAGCTCGAATCTTCTGGCCTCCAGAGAACATCATCTGAGTCAGTCTGGCAGGAGAAGGATCAGCAGCTTTGTGCCAGCCCCCTCCATCGTTTCTGGAGTCAGATGGCTCCCACTGCTCAAGGCTTTTTACTAAACTTGAATGCCGGAGGATGTCTGAATGCTTATGAATATCTGGAGGAAACAARTGCAGCAGTCAAGGCATTGGTACCCACTTATCCCTTAGGGAGGGCTGGGGGAGAATTTAAGGGAATAGAGACTCAGGAAGCAGGGTGGTGTATGTGGAGTGGAACTACTCAACCCAGTAAAAATGTAGCAAAACCCCAATAAGGCAGTAAATCTATGTGAGACATAAAACCTATGGAAATCCAGTTTCTCACAGAATTTTGATTCTGCCCTGGCTTTTGTCCTCTGCTGAACTCTGGGACTTGTAACAACATTATAAATATATGCGTATCTATAAATGTAAAYAAATGTGTGTGTTCTCCAAATACATTTAACAATATTTGTCATGCTTTTAATGCTTCACTAACATATATGTTTGAGAACAAAGTAAGCATTCCAAAGATTCAAAATTTTAAGACAATTCTACATTGAAAGTTGTAAAGAGGATCACTCCTGGGAAAAAGAAAACAAAAACCCAACAAACTTGTTGAAACCTTTGCTGAAATAGTCAAATGTATGTATTTCTGCAGACGTAGGAAAGGAGAGCGTTTATCCTCGCTTTTAAATGAACTGCAACAACTGATTGCTTGGAAATTCTTCAGCWTTTTTGAACAATTTGTGTYTCACTTGYACTGGGGGTGTATGACTGCAGCCARGAGCAAACRTGTCGCTGGCAGGGCCGCTTTTCCMCAGGCTTTTAGCGAYGAGGAGGATGCYCCAGCTCCCGGCGTCAGCTGACCCCGCGGAAGGGACGCGCGAAACGAAAGCGCTGCCTCCGTCCCCTCCCGCCTCCGCCGGGCCGCGGCCCTGCCCACGCCAACGGGGTTTTACCCTTCAAAAAATCAAGAGCTTTCGAAATCAATAAAGCGGTASAGGAGCCACCCTGTCAACGCTTCCCCCTTTCGCGGAGCCGGCACCTTCCCCCGGCAGCCATTTTATCCGGCCCCGAACGCGCCCCTCTCCGCTGTGCGTGCGGGGAAACGCGAACSGCAACACCGCGGCCCCGGAGCTCGGGCGGGCGTGGGATATACGTCCTGCTAATTACTTTAAAAAGACACCAAAAAAAAAATCACCAAAACCAGGCCTTATGGCAGCGCATCCCGCCGACTGCTGCGGCGTCCCGGGGGCGGGGCTTGCCCGTGAGGCCGAGCCCACCCCGCGCCAGGGCAGCAGCCAATCAGCGTCAAGCGCTCCCCGCCCCGCCGCCCGCCCGCTGCGGCGCCGCTCGAGCCGTCGTTGCGCTCGGCCGGGCCGCCGCCGCTCCGCCATGTGGCTGCTGGCCGCCTCCGTGCTGCTCGGCGCTCTCCGCGCAGGTGAGTGCCCTCCGCACCCCTCACTCCTGCCTGCCTTCCCCTTCCCTCGGCGTCCTGACTCCTCCGGCTGCGGCTGCGGCGATCGCCTCGAGGCGCCTGCCCTGCGCTCCCGTCTCCAGCGGGTCCCGGCGTGGGTGCCCCGGCGGTGTCCCCGGCGGGGCCCCCGGGGTGCGAGGCGGGTGCGAGGGAAGGACCGAGCCGCCCCCGCGGCCCAAAGGAAGCGCGGGGGCGGATGGCGGTGGCGGCGGGCGGGGGCAGGTGCCGGGGCCAGCGGGGCGGAGCGGCTGCCGCCCGTCCTGCCGCCGCTCCCGCAGCTCTCGGAGCGGGGACTCGCGGTGCCCCTACCGGAGCTCCCGGSTGTCCCTGCTGGCAGCAGGCTCGTGTGGGACTGCGGTGCGTAGCGGTAGCTCGCCATCCTTTGGGAAGGAGCGGACACACACGCACACAAAACACACGCTGTCAGCCAGCCCCCGCCGCCACCGCTCCCGCATCCTCCCCGGAGCCGGCGGTGGGCTGCTTCCCGCAGAAGTTGCGGGGGAGAGGAGAGACGCCGTGCACAGAGCTTTGCTCCTCGCCTCCCTGTGCGTTAGGACAGCTCGATGTGCTCTCCTGAAACGGCCATACTGGTCCCCTGCTTCACACGGCCCAGGGTTAACGGCTTTTCTTGATCTTCAAAGTTAGGTTTGTGTGCCATCGATGTGCAGTTGWCGTCGCACAGTCTTAAGTTCTTGTCTCTGCCTTGGGAAGAAACTCGGTGTGGGGACAGAGCTAATAAAATTTGCGGCGCTTTCACCGAGGTGTAGGTGCTGTAGAGTTCTTCTGTCTGTAAGCACCACATGGAAGYTTGTGTGTTTAAAGCTGGTCTYGAAATTCTAGTCTGGATTCCGGAGTTAGCAGTAGAGTGGCTTAAATGCCAAGTGCCCCAGCATGGTTTGCAGTCGGTGAGAAGGGCAGGCTCCCATCAGGTGCAGTGACCAAACTTAACCAGTTTTGTCAACCATGTGCAGCAGTTCTGAATTTGCACTGCATGTKTCACTTGCATCAACCTTTCTGTGGAAGCTTCGCAACTGCAAKTTCTTCAGAAGCACCCACACTTCTTAGTGCAATGCTCTAAAATTGTCACCTTCATGTGWCACCTCTAAGGTGGCAATCCACGAGAAAGTTGGAGGCCAAGAGCCCACCCAGTAGTCCRCTGCCGGCCAGATTTGGCAGATTATTGGCAGAGGGTTCTGTTGGCTTCGCYTTAGCACCAGAAGATTGTTGGAAATCAGTAGTGGAAGTAGCATCTGCAGGAAGTAGTGGAGCTCCCTTTAGTGGGAGAGCAGCCCCGCAGGCTCTTCCGTGAAAGCAGCCGGGTTGCAGAGGCCGGAGCCCGCAGATCCGTGTGTGTGTGTGCTCAGCCGGAGCGGATCACAGGAGCGCTTCTGCTCCGGCTCCAGGCATCAACTGCGCGCCAGCAGAGCCGTGCAGTCAGGGATTGACAGCTCCCTACCCTTCTCTGCTAATACTAGCCAGAAAATTTCCATTAGTTTGTTTTAATTCCTTAGAGATGCTTGGGGGTTTTATTTACTTTGGGAAATAACTCGGAACATCTCCTTTAGTTGAAAATCAGCTTTTTTGAAGAAATGGAGCCAGTGGTGAACAAATTCCTCCTCCAAAGTTGTAAATGTGCTGGCTCTGAAAAAGAAAAAATACCCACAACAGTTTTTGTTGTAGTTTAGTGTGAAACAGGTATGAAATTTATTTCACAAAAAACTTTTGAAGGTTTTAATTGTATACATWTGTTTTTTATTAGGGCATAGGTTGAGGTTTCTGTACAGTTCCTCTTTGTTCTGCTTCTGCTGCTTTTATTAGTTTAAARATGCAACACAATGAGTAAACCAGAGAATACTTCTTCCTTTATTGCGCTGTCATGCATAATAAATACAGAGCCAGTTTATTATAAGCTTTTGATATTCAGTAGTAATCCAGGAACCTGTGTGAGAATATTAAAGAGATGTTTAAAACAGGAGTGCTTTTTAAATGTGATCTGAGACTCTTGATTTGGGGTGGGGAGAAAGAGCTGCTGCAAATAGTGATATAACTTTTATGGGTTTTTTTCTTCCTTTGCTTTTTCTCTTTCTCCCCTTGCCCTAATTAAGTTTAATCATTAAATACATATCGTCTTTTGGATCTGGTTTATACATGTGAGTGCAAGTGATTCCTCTGAAGTCCCTGAAGCTATTGCAGTTTGAAAGTCTCAGTGCTTACAGTATTAGGGGATTGTCTTGTTATACATGTAATTTCCCATATTTGCTTTTATCAGATGGATGTAGTAAAGCATTTTGAATTATTAATGTCTCTGGGACTTTTGGGAGCAATTACTATTAAGAAAGCTATTAAACTTTATTATGATTTCACACAAACAAGGAAAAACAGAGAAAATAAAATATTCAAAGCCTTAATAGCTTACAGCCAAGCAGTTTAGCTAACCTCTTCTGGTTCCTTCTGGTAATTTATTTACTAATGTTATGATTTTTTATATTCATAAGAACTGATAAATGGATCTTCATTTCCGATAAAATCAGAAATGAACCCAGGTCTTCCTTGAGACAGTGGTCAATCAGTACTAATGTTTTGGAACTGTGTACAGTGTGGGAGAGAGAGGGGAAAACCCARCAGTGATAACATAATCCTGTGAGGTGTTGATTTTCCCTTACCTGCACTGAATGCTATCGTTAGAAAGATTAGTCACAGTGATTTGTAATATGGGTTGGTCATTTTTACAGATTCTCAGTTTTCAGTTTTGTTGTGTATACACACTCAAATACTKAGTAATAATCTCATTTAATATATGGTATTGTGTGTGCACCTTCTCCATTGGAAAGGAGAAGGAAGAGAGTTCGCAAGAAATGATCTAAACCTATGGGCATTTGGCTCCACCTTCAGAGATAAGAAGGAACAAATGACAAAGCTCTCTTGACTAAGCAGCCCTGCCTGCCTTCTCTCAGAAGTGTAAAAGTGAGATTTTTTTTTTCCTTGTGTCCTTAATGAACTGTAAAGGAAGTTCGTGTGGAGCTGATGCCTGGACCTCAGTTCCTAGACTGTGTGATCAGCAGCAGAAAAYTGAATCAGTGGGTCAGCCTGTGGTTCATGTTACGTGTATGCTTTGCAGAAACTAGGCAGTGTTTTTGCATGTGGCATTTTAGGAGAAGTATTCAAGTAAATGGCAACCCAGGTGTTTTGTTTTTTTTTTTTTTTTGTTGTTTTTTTTAATAATTAGGATAGGTTATGGTATCTATACATTAAATAGATGTAGGAATGGCTGAGTTTGTGTGAAGGAGTAAGTAAATTATAATGCCTTTTTTCCATCTTCTGTTAATCCCTTAAAGCATGGTTCACTTTTTGTGGTTTCACAGGAGAGTTTGTTTTGTTTTCCCAATTCACCTGTTGTCATTATTTTTTCTTTGTTCTYGAGTATTAAGAAATAATTCTGAATGTGTCAATTTTCGTTTTCCTTTATAGGTTCTGCCCAGTTGTCACTTGTTGGGACAGATATTATAGAAAAAAATGACTGTAATGGAACAGTAGTTTTACCTTGCTACGTGACTAATCTACAGGAGAACAATGAAAAAGTCATGTTTGTGACATGGAAGAAGGAAAGAGAAGTTATTTTTTCTTATCGGGGTGAAACAAAGGAGTTTTATATTCGTCCATCKTTTCCATCAGCAAGATTGTTATCCCAGGGGGATTTAACCAAGGGTGTGGCCTCGCTGGTGCTCAACCGTAATGATGCAACAGTTGGAAATTACAGCTGTGAAGTAACAGAATCAAACAGAGAAGGAGAAATAAAAATGGAACTTAGAGACAGCACAGGTGAGTTGCCTGCTGTGCTTCCAGAACCCTTTGGGAGGGAAAGCAAGCAAAAATCTTAAGGGAAAGAGAAAAAYAGTGGACTTGGCAATGTACTCCTTTAAAGTGAAAATACAAAAATGTAGCATGCAGGCCTTCTAACTTGTTAGCTAACATGGATTATTTTGGTTAAAGTTAGGGGGGAGTGCTTCCTTGGGGAAGATTTGAACACATTTTTTCATTCTATAATAATGGCTGAGGGTGATTTACATCAAATGTAGGAAAAATCTATGCTTTCTCACATCTTTTCTATTATATAAGTGCTGATATATTCAGCAATGTTATTGCATTACATATTTCTGATCATCTTCCTGATATCTTTGTAATACTGAAATGTATACATCCATCACAGTGGCTGCAGAGATAATTTCTTGGAGGAATTGCTTCTTGCAACCTTTAACTCTGCTGGAAAGCTGCAGGTAGAACTGATAGAAATTCTGCTTTAAGAGCTCTAGAACTCAATCTGAAGGTAGGCAGTTTTCTACTGAGGTGGAAAATGTTACTGATAGATGATAACTTGTTASAGTTTTCTAGTATTAAATGCCATCTTGAGAAGATGTTGAAAGAAATTSACTAAATGAATTTTTCATCTAGAGAGTTGTTTTATGTCATCTTGTTGGTCCTGGCCCACGTTCTCCAGCATCTCTGCTGTTGGACCATGGGTTCGGCGGTACATGTGTGCTCTGTCCAGTGCTCTGCAGATGTGAACTTTCACTGGACTTTCACTAGGTGTGCCCTGTTTATCTGTTCTGCCYAGGAGGCTTGCCTCTGGAGAGCTGCTCACAAGCACTGAATGTGTTGCATGTGTGTAGCACAGGGAGTCTTACCCATGCACTCTAGAATTTTTGCTATTGGTTTTTGCATTGCACAATAAAATATTTGTGAAGCTCAAACGGATGTTGCTTGTGTCCTGCTGCAGACATTTGTGTAATTCTCAGCTGATTCTGGTTATTTAGTTAACTATATATCCTGCAAAGCAGATGTGGTCCTGAAATTGAGAGGGGCACAGCCACTGAGAGTGAAGAAGTGCGAAATCATTCCTTTTTTTGAACATTTCAAAAACAAGGGAAGTTTACACAGTTTCTGTTTCCTTCATTCTCTAACAGCTTACTCAGCYTCTTTTGACTGTTTGTGCCATTCAGTGTTAAGCTCCAGAAGAGGAAGTAAGGCTTGTGATAGTAATAGAATCAAGCCCCATTCGCAAGTTTTTGTTCTCTGTGTTGATAATTTTGAAATCGGTATAAAGACAACAAAATCGGAAACTGATATAATTTTTCTAATTTCATTTTCTAGTTGACAGTTGCGGCGACGAAACACCAGACGAAAAATGTGGTTGGTGAAAAATTTATAGTTTTGAGGTCTCATTAGGTTTGACAATATGTCTATGAAATGTAAAACTTAGGTTTGAGGGTGTAGCTGCAGGTAACACAGTTTCTTGCTTGCTTTCAGTTCTTCTGCACGACTTTTTGTTGCTTGCTCCTGCTCCATCTTCTAGAGAAACTCTTCAGGCAATAAGCTAATAGAAGAAAGTGTAGCAAGTGAGTTTTGAAAAGGGTTAGTGGATAATGGAAATCCTGTACCAGTCTTYACGCTGTCATTTCTGAGCAATGAATTCATGCTGTCACTACCAGCATATTCCAATTGATGTTTTTACGAAGATAGTCATACAAGAGCCAGCTGTCCTCCATCTCTTCAAAGAAGAACTCCTGGATTCACCTAGGCAGTGGGTAGCAGAGTGAGCAAGATTTCTGTGCAAGTGCCCTTTTCTTTGGGTGCACACTCTTTCCTGATCAGGAGAGTGACTGTCAAGTGTCCCCATTTTCTTTTTCCAATCTTCTTCTTCTCTTTTCTTCTTTTCCTGTCCTTCTTCTTGTTTCTTCTTTKCTTMTCTTCTTCCCCCGTTTCCTTTCCCYTTTACCCCTTCTCTTCACTCTTCTTTCCCCCCAGTCTGGAAGTCTCTCTTAACTTGGAACTGACTGCCCTGTATTGGCTCTCGAAATAGTACTTTATGCCAAGAGTTTAGTTGATTACTACGAAGCACCAGTGTAAGGGAAGTGTATTGCCAGGAAAATGCATTCAGCAGTTCCTCTTCCTTGCATGTTGCCTGCAGTTGGTTCTTTCAGACCCCAGGACTTGGACCACACGTGGTTCTGCCTTGCTTGAAGCCCTAGCAGATATCAGGCTTCTTGGCTGCTTCCTTTTTGTAATATCAGAGAGTATCAGCTGGAAATGCTACACAGAAGTTAAGTTAGTTCTCAGTATCTGCTTGCAGATACTTTCTTTCATTATTCTCAGTTGCATGGAAGGGCATTKCTGGAATTTGGTTTACCTGGAGGGTGACCACTGTGCATTGAAGTTGCTATTCAATATTAGTTGCTTTTTTAAAATTGCAAATGAAGCAAAAGCCTTCTTTTAAACAATTTAGWATATTAACCTCATTTTGATGGTTAACAAGTTGGCAGATATTTCCCCATTTTCTTGCCTGCCTTCAGCTTAGTGTTTGCCTTGTATTTCTGTTGTATGCGCTGTATCTTCTTCTGTGACCTCTTGTGGGAGGAGGGGAGGGAAGGGAAAGGAGGCARTTTATGAACTTAAAAGCTGTCCTTGGGGTATTTACTTAGCATTGAACATTGTGAGGTATTGCTGCTTAATTACATGTTTCTGGAGCTACAGATCCAACTTTTGTRTATGGAGAAAAAGTGTAACAAATGTACAACTTAATGAAGATTAGAAATTTCTTTGGAAGCAAATGGGCAGGCAGAGGAATGGTGGCAAGTGTAATRTAAGGAATAGAGACTTTGGATTCCACTGAGTGTGTGAGTCTAAATGAAGATATGAGCAGAGATGCAAGAATTAACTGCATTTTCTAGTTCAGTGGAGATATTTTCAGAATTTTATGTTGGAAGGTGGCTTACAGGATCTTAAAGCATGACTGACTGAACAGCCTAAGGCATCCAAAATGCAGGGGAAAAGTCTAAATGAATGATGTTGGGAAGACCTAAAATTAGCAAGGCAATGTTTCCCTCACTGGGGTTAGCCCCTGTGTTAGCTCCTGTATTCCTGAGTTACCACCACTCAGATAGAATAGCTGAAGAAGCCTCAAATTGGACTTCTAATATCTTCTCTGCTTAGCCTAAATACACTGYTTTTCTGACTGACAAATATTTTTGTAATTCCACAAATTCAGTACCTTGTAGTGCCAGAAATTAGCCCCAGCATATTCTCTGCTCCRGTGGAGGTTTAAGACTTCCAGTTTGGAAACACTGGGTTAACTGGCAGTGCTGAAGAAGTAGGTTGTCACACAGAAGATCAGGAAGAAAAACACACAGGTAGTGGACACAGGTTTATTGGCCTGTTATGATTCTTAATGCAAGATGACACATAGTACTGGGCAATCTAGGACATAGCCTAAGAGGAATGCTAAATATAAAGGAAATAGCCTCAGTTTTTGTTCTCTTCCTACTGTTTTTCTTTGCTTGTTGTCTAGGACCATGGTTCGTTCTAGTGGAAAGGGCTGTCATCATATCACTGATGTGGTTACTTGTTATTTTGTGTGCAGCTCAGTTAAGTTTTATTGGTAAGTATTGACTCTCTAATTCTTCACATTTGCTGATTTGTCCTGGAATCACTTCCAGGATAAAGGTATCTATGTAAAATGAAAGATRGTGCTCACATCTAAAAGATGTGTGGGAATAGATCCAGGTAATAMACAGAGACATGGTATGTGTAAAGCTTTTCTTCACTGTTGATTCACCATGATGTTGTTGAATAATTYGAAAATGTTTCATTATGTAGTCATAAAATCAATATGAGAGAAGGATGGTGTGCTCTCTTGATATGAAACTTTTCGTTAGTCTTTTATGACTGGCTGAATTACAATGTAACACTGACATAGGTGATTTTGTTAAGTTTTTAGAGGCAATACGTTCATTCACCAGTGTCAGGCATCCTTAGGTGTTCTTTATACACTGGTKCCCAAGATCTGTGCAATGTGGAATGTTCTTTGTGTGCTGGTCTTTCAGATGGTACAATTTGTTACATCAGTTTTTGAGATTTTTCATCCTTTTTCAATTTCTAGACTTGTAAAAAAAATTTTAAAAAGAAACATTTCAGCTGAGAGTCAACTCCATAAGAAACAGAAAAAAATTGCACTCAGAGTGATTTGAAATAATACGTATTCAGCCATCTGTATATAACTTCCTTTATTTTTCATGAATCTCTGGAAGTCTTATGTGTCTCTTCGAAGTTCCACCCGTGGTCAAAGGTTGAAAACTTTTTTTTTTTAAATTACTTTATTTCTGTATTGTTATGTTTCTGATTTTCATATTTTGTAATGGTATGGGAACCTCTGATCTGTTCAGGAATTGTCATTCCCTTGCATTCATATCAGAACTTCAACATTTTTAGGAAAGTAATAATTTMATGGAGAAGCACTGTCATTTTATAAGAGTAACTTCAGCATGCTTGGATGTTTTTTTTTTTTGCACCTGGACTATTCAGTGAGAGGTCTTGGCCTCTGTGGGGAAAAGAGTTGTGCTACCTCTAACATAATGAATATGAGTGTACTTACTGTTTGTCAGGATTTTTTTTTATTTTTTCCTTTAATTGTATTCTTAGATAGCTTGGGAATCCACCAATGGTACTTTATGCCATTAAATAGGTTGTTAAATTGGGCATGATTTTTCTGTGTAATACTTGGGAATGTATGTTTTCTTGGTTTGTTTGAGGTGGGKTTTTTGTTTGCRRGGGRTGTTTGWTTACAGGATTGGGTTTTAGGATTTGAGTTCCATTGGGGACAGAGGTGATGTGTCTGAGCTCATGCTGTGTCATGAGGAAGAGAATGAAACCAGGAATTTCTAAATCACTACTGATACTCATCTGAGTAACAAATCACTGTAACATTTAAATGTTAGCAGTGCCTCTACCTCAATTAACCTGTACCATGCCCCWAAGGTACTCTGATAACATACCACCTGAATTGTATGGAAAGAAAAATTAAAAAGTTGACTAGAACGCCGATGCCAGGTGTCATTTTTCTGAGTAAGCCATATTAACCATATCAAACAATGAAAACAAATTAAATCTTGGGAAAGTAAATAATTTTAATTTTTAGGAGTTTGAGTTTCTTTCTTTAGGAACAGTCCTAATCATAATTCTATGTATTTTAGTGAGAAAATCTGTATGCCTGATTGTTTCCCTCTTTGTCCCTTTAAGGATTAAAATATGAAATTGAATCTCTGAGGAAAGTGTGCATTATTGTAGCACTTGTCATCTTGGCAGTTTTAGCTTCTGCGGGCACTGCTCTTTTTGTCCAAGGTAAGTGATTAAAATTGCTCTCTTAGTTTAAGGGAACAAGAGCACACAAGAATCTCTTCTGTGCTGTAGTATGGAAGTTAGTATCACCTACTAATCGCCATCTACTAAGTTTTAAATGAAAAAAATACACAGACTGCAACAGAAACAGCATTGGGGTTGTCAGGCCTTCAGRTGATCATAGGAAGATGCAGACTTTAGATTTATTTTCTATCCCACTGCCTTGGGGTGAATATTAGCAACTAGAGTGACTTCTGGTGCTTCACTGGGATTTCTTCCTGAACCCAAGAAACTCAGTGATGCTAATGATTTATGTTTGTTGCTATGTGCTTTAATCCAGTTAGCAGTTTTGGTTTTACTGATTCCCACATAAATGTTTGCAGATGGCTATACTGTACGGAATCAAGCTGGCCTTGGCCTAACCGTAATCCCTGCTGTGATTTTGATACCACTTCAGTACATCATGTTTGGAATTGGTGAGTATTCATTTACTCACTAACATATGGATAGAAAAAAACTGAGCTTCTTCCATAATCTGCAAAATACTCTCATTTGTATAAACAGGTGCTACAATAGTATCCTGGGTTCATCACATTTCTGGTATCTCAAAGCAAAATATTCAGCCTATGTTTGTTGGGTTGAGTTGCTTCAGGGAGGAATTAGGAGTTACCTGCTTGAACACTGAGATTTAGGGTAGCACATCTGAGTGGTTTCTGCTCTCCCTTCCTGGGTCTAGGGACTGGATTGAATAACTAGTGCTTAAGAGTGTGTGTGTTCCATTTTTTTCTGCTTGTGGTTTGTTTATGATGTTTTTTATATATGAATAATTTTATGTATATATATACATACAAGAGCCTTGACTGGCAGTGACTTATGTGTTTCGTTGTCACACTGACTGGCTGAGCTTAGAATTTGGAGAGTATGATTTCCAGCTTTATGTGAATGATCTGCCTTTTATGTCTCTGTAGTTCAGCCTGATAATTTTCTTTTCTTTCCCAGTTTTTGACAGCTTACCGCAGACAACGTTGGCTCTGATAGGTTTGAAACTTCTTGGTTATATAATTGCCGTGGTTGGTTTTTCACTATGTGTCCCAGGTAAGCAATTTGTCATCTGTGAGAATGTGCTTTTTACTCTTGTCTACACCTGATGTTTAACACTAAAAGTTTGTGAAAATGGCTCCACTACATGGAATGTTAGCTGGTTACTTCTGTAAATGTAGTTTAGGTCTACTGTGCTAATGTTCTTTTATCTGGTGAAAGAGCAATAGCCCAAAGGCAGGATTACATTCATCAGTTTCATGACTACATTATGTAAACTTAAAAAAAAAAAAAAGAAAAGTTAATTGTTTCTGTTTTACATGTTAGTGTTGATTTTGGGTAACTATTTACTGAGGCCTAGGACATTTAGAAATTAAGTAATAATAATTGTCTTATGCTCAGTGATTCAWTCAGAAATTACTTGCTACTTCTGCYTGTYTGCACCTGAGCCCATKAATATTTYAATAATTAAAACACATTAAGAAGGTAAATGTGCAGACAGTGAACTTGGAAGTGTTCTCGGGCTGTTTTAAGTGTGATTATGACTGACACTGTTTCATCACTGAGCAACTGTCACTGTGATAAGGGAACACCAACGGAACACAGAACACACWGTGATGTCCCTTATCCCTGCCCCTGGCCTCTCTGCTTTCCCCTGTGCCACCAGAACCCCACAACAGACAAAAAGGGTCAGTTTAGGACTAAATGTCCTTGGCAGTATATTTAGTAGGAGAGGACATATTTGTGTTCCTTGTGGGCACTTTATACTCCTGATTTCTTGTTTTCTGTTGATTTGGTTGGGAATTTAAGATCTGTTTCTCCTTGAAACAGTTTTTAAAGGTTTGTCTAATCTAGGTGAAATGATAGTCCTTTTAGTGGAGTTGTGATTTGAGTTTTATGTTTATTGTTTTTATTTACAGAAGTGTTTGTAAGTTTTGTAAGTTATAATAGTAAAATAAGGCAATGAGAGATTTCTGGTAAAGCATTAAAACAAGGATKTTTTTATAATGCTCATAAATGAAAARTCCCTAGTTTTTTKGGGTGTTCTTCTCCTAGGTCACAAATGGTAGATGTTGTCTGTATCTCTGGAAGTTCAGCTCTGTGACCCTGCAGGGTTAATAAAAGCAGCTTATCCTGGGTTGAGCTGGCTTATCAGTAACAGTATTGTATTTTGTTATCTAATACAATTATAGTCCAAAACAGTTGGGATWGAAGATGCAAATTTAAATTTAAAATACAGTTAATGAAAGAGCATTATCAATTGCAGTGAATGACAGTAGAATCCACCAATGCTACTACAGAGTATCTAAACTACTAGAAAAGTGAAGCTAAGCAGGATAAATCAGTAAATGCCTTTGTATCACTAAAGAATGTGTACAAAAAAAGAAAGATGCAGGAGTAGTTCTGGGATAGCTTTGAAAGTAAAATTAATCATGACTGGTTTTATGTATTTTTGTATAAATTTATTATATGTATTTTACTAATCAGCTATATCTGGAAGTAAGAGTTTGTGCTTCTTTTGTGTCAGTTGATATAGATTTTTTTTATTGTGTTTTTCCCAGCCTGTCCTCCATTACATGGGTCTGTTCTGATTGCTGGCTTAGCTATTATGGCTATTGCAAGTTTGCTTAGTCTGGCTTATGAGTTTATTATGGGTAAGTAGCACCTGATATTCTGCTTTATTTTCAAGTAGACATTTATTTGAGAACAAGGTGTGATTTCACCATTGCATAGTTTTAAAAATTACTGAAAAGTTGTCTGTGTGTGTTGGCTTTGTTTCATAGAGCAYGTGGGGAATCTTGAGTTAAGAAACCCCCAGTTTGTCATCACAAACTGTTTTAAGATGAACACAGCCAGGCTTCCTAGGTTAGAATGTTTGTTGTAGGAGGGATGTTGCTGTTCAAGTTCTGCATTTACACAGYTGGCCAGCTGAAGCTCAGAATGAAGAGAGCAAAAGGGTGTCAGGGATTTTGTAGAGGATTGAGGGATGGTGGTGGCAAAAGCATATCAAAACATGGATTTAAAGAAGCAAAACCTACCTAGTGATTTGCCTTGGTTAGAGGTAGGTTAAAATTAGAGCAATGTGAATGCACACCTTTCATTTTAGTGAATCCTGSTTTTCCTCATGCCTAATTTCAAAACAGAGGAGAAAAGAATAGCAAGGCTTTGTTTCAGAAGCTGGTCTGTTCATCAGATCTCAAAAAGATGMGAGTTTGAAGATCTGCTAAATAAACAAAACCCAGCAATGCCCTGTGATGGGAATGCTGGCACACCACAGCATAACATTGTGTGCAGTCTTCAGCTTGGGTCAGAGTGACATTTGTTTTAAGCTGTGCTTGAGGGCTCTTCAAACACCTTGTTGTGRACACAGAATTGTACAATTGAGGGTRTRTTCTTACAGACTCAACCTGCTGAAGTCTTACAGTGAGTGCAGTCACAATTCTGCACCGAACCATGCAGTCTCCCAGGTTTAATGTGTGCATACCACTTTCAGGTCTCCAGCCTAAAGCCTGAGACGAGCTGTTGAAGGAAGATAGTTTCTGACAGAAATAACAGACCCTGAGATAGAGAAGATTYCCAGTAAAGAAGAAATTGAGGCAGAATGCCTAATATTTGATAGCCAAGATAAATGAAGATGAGTAAAAAATATGGCAGACATGAATCAATCGTTTTAGTAACAACAATAAATGTAGTTTTTTATTGACTTTGGTTTACTTGTATATACTTGCATAGTATTGACTTCAGTGCTGTGTGCTGCATAAATGTGGCATTTGTGATTTGATTATGCTGGCTGAAGAAGTCAAATGTGATTGTTGGGGTAAAWTCTAGCATGCCAAAATAAGCACAATGAATAGTAAGTAGCCTAATTCACTTTTAGAGCTGAGTGCATGAGTGAGGCAATTCACACACTGTACGTGATAAGATTATTTTGTTCCCAGACAGAAGAGTACTTAGAGGCTCTAAGAATCAGCAGATCATAAAATYAAATAACTTTGGATAGGGGAAGCTTCAATTTTKTGTTACTATTCTGTTACAAGTTTTWTCAGTAGACAGTACCTTTTCCTAGATAACAAGTGACAAGATGAGAGGAAATGGCCTCAGGTTGTGCCAGGGGATGTTTAGGTTGGATGTGAGGAAAAATCTCTGAAAGGGTGGTCRTCTGGAAGTGATGTGTAGGTGTGGCACTTGGGGACRTGGTTTAGTGGTGAAGGCAGCAGTGCTGGACTAATGGTTGGGCTTCATGTTCTTGGAGGTCTTAACAATTCTGTGGTTCTGTGTTTTTATTTGATTGATCATGACATTTATTCATCTGCCTGGTCACTTCTTTTGTAATTATTTTAGGTTCCAGAATGAAAGATCATCCTCGTCCGGGGGTAAGCTTAAAATTAATAAATTTGGGGTGACTAGATGGCTCAGGGGATTGTAGTGAGATACTGAACCTTTCTTCACTAGTTCGAATTCAGACCAGGTTGGTAGCAAGCAATAGTTCTGGCTGTGTAACAGATGTCTAATGTGGAGTGAGTTGGTGGTCTCCATTGTCCCTATTGAGTGTGTCTGTAGTACTGTGAGTGCCACCGTGACCCGGGGCCACTCTGGCTGTTGTGCCCAAGTGCAGTTTCCATTGCTGTCACTGAAAGGCAGTGGATGTCCAGGGAAGTTTGGCCTTCTTTTACAATGCACTCTTCCACCTGAATTTTTAAAAGATTTTTTGCTCACCTCATTGAAAAGCCTTTTCATTAAGGTGAGTGCAAAACAACCAGGTGGCCTGTAAGAAGGACTTAGAAGGTTTTTTCCTGTGGTCTTGTGYACCAGAACCCTTTGATTTTCTCTTCAGTTCCTGGCTATACAGATGGCATAGCCCTGACCATTTTTTCTGATTTTCCTACAATGCCCCTTAATTTCATGAGACCTGAAAAGAATGTCCGTCTTTAGGTAACACAGAACAAATTGAAAAATATCAGCAGTTTTGAATTGTAAACTAATACTTTCCAAAACAGTAATTTTCACAGACTTACCCAGTGCTTTTGAGTGATCCATGAATGTGAACTGCCTGATTTCTAGTGTTTTCCAGAAGCAAGGAAAGAGGCACAACTGTAAAACTTCCTTGTAGCAGGGGGATCTGGCAAATACTAACTCAACCCACCTCTTGGATGCCAGCCATCATTTAAAACACATTTTCAGGTCTCCAGTCTAGAGCCTGAGACCCAGCTGTTGAAGGAAGATAGTTTCTGACAGTGAGAGCTGACTGCAGTTAGGACATGAGATTTTTTAATTGTTAAATTTTTCAGTTTCCTTTGCTTTTGCTCATCCTTTTTCATTTTAAGGAAGAGTGTTTCAGAGGGTTGGTCTTTCTTTATGGAAGGAATATAAGTGCACAGAGTTAAAAAAAATAGAAGAAAAAGAGGGTAAGAGATAATTACATTGTAAAAATGAGCTGAGAAGTGAATTGAAGATATGCTTCATTCAMAATGAAATCTTGCCTTTATCTCACATCCTTGTGTTTATGTTAARAATGGAGGTAAAGGGGGCAAGAGGACGTTTTTTATTTCTTAAATTAGTTTTGGTTGTAAATAAACTTTGAGATATAAACCAGCATGCAAAATAGCATCCTTTGATGAGAACTCTGTTCTCTTCATGAGCTGCTCTCCTCACAGTGTGGTCTTCCACGTCAGCAAGGGTTTGAGAAATAAAGAAATAGCCACAGCGACACAGGAATGAACATCATGTTACTCTCTTAATTGGGGACAGGACTGAAATCCAAAGTAATTTTTAAAACTTGGAGGTCATTGGAAACYTCAGCAAGTACAAATATGCTGTTTGCAGCTGCAGATAACTGAGGGCTAGATAACAGAGGAATTCAAGTGATGTAATTTGTGTCCATGAACTTATGGCTGATATGGAAAGACCTGGTGGAAATTGGAGTGTGTTAATATGCTTCTTGTTTCCATCAAGGGCTGCTCAGCCTATATTGCTGTATTTTGAGGCAATAAACTGGTGTGAAGTAATCTTAAGAATGCACTTTGATTCTGTGTCATCTAAAGACTGTGGAAAAGTTAATATTGGTGAAGGGCTTCATTTTGACACTGGGGCACATTTAAAAAATAATTCTTGAGATTTTCTTGAGTCGGAGGGGGAAAAGGTGTGTATTTTGAAATCTGCCATCTTAACCAAGTACTGATTTTTTTCTTGAGCATTTCTGTAGATTGCGTGTGTTGTTCCYGATGATTGTCTACCAGACTAAATGCACAACTGTCGTGTATTTCTTTTTGAGGAGATTCCACTTGATTTGCTTGGCTACTAATTTTCTTTTCTTTTTTAGTCCTGCTGCTTTGTTACTAACCATTGATCAAATGGCAGAAATAATCAGTTAGGTTTTAGAGCTTAAAAGTAGTATCTGCATGGCTTCCGCTGCCACCTAGGGATATTTCATCTGGGTAAACATCACAGTAAGGGAAACAGCCTGGAGAATGCAGCTGTTGACTGATGTAATTTTTTTTTCAGACCTTTAGTCATTAATTTGATTAACATTAAGCTTTCTTCGTTTTTGTAGAATCACTACTTACTGTATATGTCAATTAGAGTAATTTAACTGTGGCCAGCCAGAAGTAAACATGAAGGCTTTTTATACATATATATATTTTTAAATGTTTTGCAGAAAGCTGTAGAAGAACCACTAAATGGTAGGTGATATTCAAGGCTTATCTTCTACTTAAGGGATTAATTATGGATAAAGATGGAACCAATAGTTCTAATTCCCAATCCCACAGCACTGAGATGGCAGATCAGTGTGGCAACTTACATGGCTCTGTGAGTCAGTAAGAGTTTGATTTCTCARTGAAATTTTGCCTGCAGCTCCAGACTCCCCATTTTATGACAATGTGCTTGCTAGCCAGTGGCATTGTTTGACTATTTTAGGACAAATCTTTGGTTTGCAAAATGTCYAGCTTTTAAGGGAAAAAGAGGGATTGGTCTTGAAAAGTGATGTTCACTCTTCATAAAGATTTATTTGGGTGAAATACTTAACRATCATTGCAAAATCTATCTTTGCCACTCTATTCTTTTCATATTTCTTTGGGTTGGGGAAACACTCTCATGGTGTTGGGAAACTGATAGTGCTTTAGGTGAGGGAAATTTACAGTGAAAAAYTGATTACTTAATTTTTTTTTCTTTTTTTGCTATTATGTTCATTAATTGGCATGCTGAGTAGTAACACRTTCTAACCTGAATTTTAGAACTAATCTGAATATTAATTATGAAGCATTTCTTTCTCTTTCACTCATTACTAATCCATTTGTTTGACTTTTAAAGATGCAAAAGGAGTGATGTTAGAATGATGGTAAGTCTAAATATATCTCCAGATATTTAWTTTAATGGCTAGGTATTTGAGGGGTTTGATGTTTTAAGTGTTACCCAGTGCTAATTTGATGAAACTTGGAGGACARGTTTCAGGGCAGGTGCTGTTCTTACTCAGATTATACTTAATTGAAAAGAATGAATACATGCATCCTATACAGACACAGAGGAAGAATGTGCATTCCTAAACCATGAAGAGGATGAGTCAGTCTGAGAACTGTGCAATAGTATTCTTCTGAATAAATGTGGAAAGTCAAATAGCTTTATGTTTCCTTTATGCTCATGTAGTKTTTAAGATGCATGGAATGTTTCCTTGGTGGTGGGTTGTTCTATTTGGGTTTTATTGTTAATATAACTAAGCTTTCTCTAGGCATTTAATTGGTGATCTCCCATGGAAATTCACAGGAAAGTGGTTTTTTAAAAGTAACTTTCTCTCCCTCTCCCCCTCTTTACATGTTACCTGAATTCTCTGGGTTTTGTTAGATTGTATTCCAATCAGATTTCACTTAATTATTTTTCAGATGGCTCTCATTGAAGAGCTTAAATTTTAGGTTAGATAAAGTTTGAAGATGAAAACAGTACTATTGATTCTTTTTTACTTAGAAGCTGTATTTTTCATGGGAATAGGATAAAAAAGCACTTGTTGATGATATTGGTACTTCTGTGTCTTCCTGGATACTGAACAAGCTTGTAATGAGATAATCAYTAGACTCYCAGCCTGGTACTCCTGCATTTAATKACAACATTTTGCTGCTTAGGATAAAGAGTAAGGTCACTCCAAATCTGGTAGTTCACTTGAAATATTTTTCTATCATGCTATTTTTAGGAGGCATGAATTGRCAATGTGGAAATGAGGTACTAGTTAGTTCTTATTGGAAAAAGGTGTRTAAGTTAGTTTTAAAAACAGGCTTCCTTACAAATACCATGTACTGTGTGGTTTGTGTTACTTATGACTACTAYATGGTTCATCCAGATATTCCATATAATTATTTTCTAAACCAGTAGAAATACAAGCAATTCCTCAGCACAAAGGATAACTGCACTGGTGCCTTATAAACACCCTGATAAATGCAGGTACCAGTTACTACAATGTGAGCAGGGAGGGGTGGAAGGCAGGGCCTGCACCAGAACTGGCTGCTTCACAGAGTCATTTGAGATCAGGAAACAAATAGATATTTGCCAGTCCATTGCATTCAGAGCAGACCAGAAGGGAGATCAGGATGGGCTCACTGCAGTTACCTCATACTGCTGAAGAGCAAGGCAGAGTTTGCCTGGARATGCAATTTTAAATAAGTTGCCTGGTTTTTCTTGGGTCTCATTTAAACTTATGAAAACCCTCCTTCTAGTGCTGAGGTGAAGCTTCCAAAAGCACAGAAATTGCCAATTACCCATTTCATTTTAGGGTAGAGCTAGAAGTCTGTCTGCTTTTTGTGCCCTGAAAGATGGCTCCTAACCAGTGACAGAAGGTTTTACAGATGGAAGGCAAATGCTCTGACTCACATGCTGGAGGCAGCAACCTTTTGAGCTCTACCTGCTTTCTACCTTAACCTTCCCTGGAAAATCCACACACAAACTGAAGCAGGGATGAATCAGAATCAGATGCTGAAGCTGACTAGCTTACAAAATAGCCTGTGAAAGTAAACCAGCATTAGAGTCTAGACAGCGTGGGTCAGACAGCTGAGCCACTTCAGTTTATTCCAGTTCACGAGTGAGAGCTCCAAGGCAGTGTCCACCTTTCTGTTCTGGAGAGGCTGAAGCATCACTTGCTGTTAGTAACACCTTTTTTCCACCATTTGAATGCTAAATGTGCTTTCAAAGTTTAAAATTAAAAAAAAAAACCACCCCAAAATCTACAGCTGTAACTTGTGTAGGCTGCACAAAATGTTGCTGTTCTTCCCAAACAATCTTTTTTTTTTCTTTCTTTTTAAATTCCCAGAACTGCAGAGTTATGTGATGCGTATACAAAAAAGTACACCGTTGTTGATACACCGTGGCCTTGAAGATGCACTACTCAACGAGAAGAAATTCAGGAATCTAGTTGTTTTGCATGTGTGGCAAAAGTGCTTTTGATACAAATGATGTAATTTTATAGTCACAGCAGCTGTAGCAAGGAACATGTGTGTTTGCCCACATGTGATCTTTATTTTCTTTTGTTATGGTGTATACRGGATGGTTGAGGATGAGAATATAAAAAGCACTATTTGCCCAGTACAGAGTCTCCCTGCAGTAATCCTTAGTGGTATTATTTTCAAAAACTATCATTAGTCACTGCTTTGGTAATGGGCCTGCTGAGCCCAGAGATTGCAATACCATTTAGGCTATTGTTTTCTTTATTTGTGTGCATGGACAAAGTATGGTTTATGTGTATGATACAAGCAGGAAGTAGAGATTGTACAAATACATCTTTTCTGACATTCAGCAAAATTTTTATTAAAAAAGAAATAAAAAGTCACACACGAAGTTGCATTAAGTACAAAGTTTACTCCCAGCTCTCCTGAAATTATGAATAGAGTTCTAATTCTGAGACATTAGAATTCCTCTCTGTGGACAGTAGTCACGTGTGCTCTGGTGGCTAATATTTTTGTCCAGCGAGAGGGCTCTCTGTGCCTCCTCTGCATCCTTTGATAAGAAACTGCTCAGCTGTTGGAGCCTAATTCAGCACTGGAATTACAGAGCACAGGAGCTGGTAATCTTAATGCTGAATGTGGTTCTTGTGTGTGTTCATGTTGTGCAGTGTGTGGAACTGGAAGCAATTTCAGGCTTTCTTAACTCAGTGAATTTGTGAAAGTTGTGGATGCTTCATAAAAATAGGAGTTGTCCTATTTAGTGTATTTTAGACAGAGTTTTAAAATCTTGTTTTCTTGAATGGAAAAGAGTTATATAATTTCTGACCCAAGTTTGTGTTGCTGCCATTATGTCAAAAACAGATGAAATAAAAAGTAGGAGGAGCTGATGAGGAGTGAGGAAGCTCAGTTTCTGTATATATCTAAGTGGTGCAGTTAAAAATCAGTTTACTAGGACTTGCACATTCCATGAGATTCTGCCATGTTTTTTACAGCTGTTTTGAGAGTTGTTCCAATATAGTTGGCTGCTCTTGGACTTTGTGTAYGCTTTGTAGAAATCTTGACACTGTCCTGTTTGTACTAAGGTACTGTATTTCAAAGGCACACATGGTTTTATCCTTCTAACAGTTTAAAACTTGGTTTTAGAAAGCTGTTGCCAAACAGTCACGTAATAAAATCCATGTTTTTAAAGATACTGAGTAATTTGGCACTTCTCAGAGTTGAATGTTACAAACTAAGGTTCATATCCATGTTATTGGGTGCACGTTGCAGGGATTTGGGTCCCTGCACGTTGAGCTCCGAGTCGCATCAAGAATTCAACAAAACRAAATTGAGGTGTCTGATTTTACAGTAGGTGCTGTTATAATCGTCTCTCTTGCCAAGGCTGCAGGATTGAGCCGTTTAAAGCAAGCCATGGGCCAGCCCTGACTGGGATCAGTGGAACTGGACACAGGGAAGAGGGTCATGGTCACCCCTGCGACCAAACATGGGAGAAGCATGTATGGCTCACAATTACTGTCCTGCTTTGTCAGTGGGAGTATTCGTGTGAGGTCTGAGCTCTTACATACSAATCTTTTGATACAGGTTTTTCCATAATCTCAGTGATCTCTAGCTAAAGATGGGAGATGATTCTCCATTAAAAATCTAGGGGTTTTTTTCTAATTAAGTACTGTGCAGTGCTCCCTGTTTATAACTAGTGATTCCCTCTGACAAGCTGAAAGCAGCAGAGGAATAAAATAACCAAATCAACTGGGATTCTGTTGAGGTATTCTGCCTTATAAAAACCACTCTGTACGATAGCTTTATGTTAACTTGTGTAAAGCAAGCTGCAGCAGAACCCCTCCGTGTCACCGTGGGAGCAGGCCGAGCTATTCCCAGGAGTTCTCAAAACCTGAGGAGCTCTGGCCATTTATGGGCTGCAGAAACACTGCCCCAGAAATGGGAGGAACCCACCATCCTGTTGTGTTAAGGGCTGGATTTCTTGTAGGTATGAATTTAAAAGCAAGAGGTTAAAAAATTGGGACACCCAGCCAGCCCTTTCCCACCAGTAATTTAAAACCAAAGTTGTTCATAACTGTATGCTTTTATTTGTGTGTGTACATATGTGTGTATATATAAATATATCGACATTTTAAATATCTATAGATCTATAGTCTTTACCCAAGAAATCGTTTTTATTTATGAAACATGAAATGATTTTGTAAATATTGTGCTAATATACCTAAAAAAATAAAGTCATTTTAAGTTGTTTTTGCGGGAGGTTTTCTTGTTGCTAGCACACTGAACTTCCTTGGCTGCTTCCAAAGATTCATAGTCATAGCTGCTTTTTTCCCTGTCTTTATTTATTACTGGACCTATAGGAATGTCCTCAGTATTACCTAGGCTGCTGCAGATGGTTTTGGGTGGGTTTCTCCTTAAAAAGGTCATCCAGTTGGTGAAGCAAGTGCGTAGGCTGCCTTGTAATAACTTCAGTTGTGCTCTCTGACATCGGCCATCCCGTGCTGTGGGAGGAAATGAGAGCTGAGGAGTAACGAGCTGCTGCTGCTGTAACTTCAGAAACAGCAGAGCAGCACCCRTGTCCAGCCTGTCCCTGCAGCCCTGGAATGGTATTTCTGTGAGAAGAGGATCCTTTGTGTTACTGCTGAAGCACTGCTGCCTAAATTCTGGGTTTCCTGAAGTTGTCTTTGATGTTTGACCATGGAGAGATGAGCTGCAAGTCCTGCCTGGTGGTCTTTGCACTCCCACATCCTCTTCAGTGGAGCTGAGCTGATGGGAACACTGGAATTAATGGCAATTTCCTGTTTGTTCAGGGTGATGGGAACTGTGGCTGTTTAACTGCAAGATCTCTTCAGAAATACTTTGTGGCTTCCCTAGACACACACTTCCCTCTCTAAAGGAGCACGAACCACAATTTGAGCTATGAAATTTAAGAGTTTTAGAGTTTTTGTACCAGGACCTAACTGCACGGTGAACTGCAAGCTCAGAAAAGCTGGTCCTAAAGCTCAGGAAATCTGCAAGCTTGAACTTTGGGATGAGAAAAATGGTGCTGATCCATGTGGYTGGAGAGTGTCTCAATGCAGGACTGTTGGAGATGCCCCGCTCCTGTGAACCAGAATGCTGCAGTCTGTTCAGCCAGGAATCCCAACCCAAACGTGAACTTCCAGTCCAGAAGCCTCCTGAAAGTGCTTGATCAGAGCTCCATAATTGTTTGCTGCTGACTTACCTGCATAATGGAAGTGGTTATTTTCACTCCAGGGAAGAATTTATGTTTTTTTTTTTTTTTTCTTATAGAAAAGAATTCTTTTGTTCTCTGTGCCTTTGTCACACATATAGCTGTCTTGGACTTCACTACCTCTTGCTTCCTGCATCCCTGAGGACTCTTGCAAAGCTTTCAGGATGAAAAAGGTGTGTGAGCCAGACTTTCTCTTGCTTCCTTGTTGGTTCCCTGCTGTGGCTGTTGCAGAAGCCCAGCAGGGGTAGGGCATGGCCTGGGAAGGGTACCCCAAACCCTGCACGCTGCAGCTGAGCTGTGAGAAAAGGGCAGGGAGTACTCAAAGTACAAGAAAAGGGCAGACCAGATTATTTTTCAATGAAATGATGGATTGGTGGGAAACTTTAATATAATACACAAATGTAAATAGCACGGAGACAAGGATCATCTGCTTTGGGGGAGGAAAGCTGCAGTGTTGAAACAAGTTTTGGTTTCCTGTTCTTTCACTTGCTTGATTTTAGAGACTACAGAAAGGAGGCTTTTGAAATTACTGGGCTGGAGAGTGGGAGCAGTGAAGGGAAGAGAGTCTGCCATGAATACAAGTTTGGTGGGAGAATTAAAGAGCACAGGAACTGCAAGTTTKCTGGAAGAGTGTGAACAGTTTCTTTTAACTTGTCTCTAGAATTGGTACTTCTGGATCCTTCAGAGTTACAGGACTATTTCTATTTCTTCTTGACAACTGAGAGGATTGTCAAGCACTGGAAYGAGCTGCCYGGGGAAATGGTGGAGCCACCATCCCTTGAAGTGTTGAAGAAACTGGATGTGGCACTCAGTAATAGTTTTGTTGACAGAGTGGTGTTCAGTCAAAAGTTGGTTTTGATGCTCTTGGAGRTCTTTTCCAACATTTATAATTCCATGATTCTGGMTAGTGCTGCTGTCTGCATGTGACCAGGCAGGCGAGCACGTGCAGGTCCTTGGGGATGTGCAGTTGTCACATGAAGTCGTGCTCTCCCTGCACACCTCAGCAGTGTCTGGCACACCTTCAGCTTGGATTAAACTGCTCGATTTTACTGTTGCTCACAATCTATCTACCTGCTGATAATGAAAGATTCTGAAACTGATTGCTCTAGTAATTAGTCTGCCCCCTTTCCACCCCATCCCACCCTCCCTCCACCTTTCTTTTAAGACTGCACAATAGGTGAGTGCAGGTTAAAGCTGGAAGGGTTACCAGAMCTGTGGAGAAATGAAGGAGACAACACTTTTCAGAACTTGGCTTGAGGGCAGTTGTATGTCATTGCATTAATTTAACTTTCCTTTTTGTCTTCCAGAAGTGCTGCAGGAATTGCTTTTAGAACAAGAACATTTGGTTGTATTTTGGGCAGTTGGGGTTTTTCAGGTTAGGTTTTTCTTGTTTTTTTTTTTTTTTGTTTGTTTGTTTGTTTGTTTGTTTTCTGTGTAAGAAAGCAATATTCTTTAATAAACCAGATAGATGGGAAAGAAGGGAAAAAACCAACCCCAGCAATTTCAGTGTAAGTTCACTGTGCTGTTGACCAGAAGGTTCATCCAAGGACAAACCATGAGAAGTTAAAGCAGTAAGGAGAAAAGGGATCTTTAAGATCTATTCATTGGAATAAATTTCATTTAAATTTGAGCATTGCAGTTATGATAGAATCCTGATCACCTTTTTCTTCAGTGAAGCTCTACCTTCTTACTATTTCTTACTATTTCAGCTCAGTGAAAAAGAGAAAATTTACCATATTGAGGATGAAGTGGAAGTAAAGGCACTGTGCAGTATGCAGAGTTCTGCAGGTATCAGGAGTGAGCCTAGGTGAAAACCTTGGAAGTTGTGATCTGTTCCATGTCAAGAAACACTTAGAATTTAAGGATRATAATAAAATTATATAAATTGTAATTAAAAGAACATTCATGGAAATAGATTCCTCTGTGTCCTGCACTGTAATGACAAAACAGTGGGGTTTCAGAAAAAATCCCTCTGTATTTGGAGTGAGAGTTAAGAATGAAGATGCTGCACCATGACAGCCTTTGACAGAGCCAGGCATTTACTGTTCTAGGAAATTTGTGAGGTTTTGGCTGGCAGATAAATAAGTACTACTGTAGGAACCTAAAATGTCCTCCCTTAACTGTTATGTAGGTAGGAAAAAAGTTAAAYTTTTGATAGCCTGAGCAAGCTGAAAACTTCTGTGATGTTATTTAACATAACARTGTTAACTGTAACAAATGGGGCACCAAAGCATAAACGGCTTTAAATGTCATACGGAGCAGGAAATGGAGTTGGTTACAGCACCAATGAGGAAGTACAATTAATGTGTGATAAAATATGTCCTGACTGTGCCAGTCACAGGGAAGATGACGGAGGAGAAGGTGGTTCCTGTCCCTCAAGGCCTGCTAAAGGAGCCACAAACCCTTCATGGGTGACAGTGYGAGCTCGTGATGTGCTTTGCGGGTGAATTAACAGCACAGTGCGTGTCAAACGGCATGGAGGGACAAGATGCTAAAACAAAACAAGCAGCACAAGAGAAAAGCCCTCTGCTGAAAGGTGCAGTCACTATGTGTTTATTTACCGGGCACAGGAAAACAGCCCCTTCACCAGGAGCACTTGTGAGGGATGGTCTGTRCCCTGAGCCTGCTCTTGCTCCAGTTACAGCCTCGGGCTGGGAAATCTGAACAAAATAACCTCGGTGCACAGCAGGGTCTGCCAGGCTGAGAGCTGGGGAGCAGCACAGGGAATGTGCTGGGAGCTCACAAGGCTTTGTGCAGAGGAGCAGAGACTGAAAAAGGACGAGGAGGGGGAGGCTCCAGCGCTGTTTCTCCATGCCAGACTGGTTGGGGGGGTCACAGCAGCAGCTGAATTTGGTACAGTTCACCAAAGTATGGGCAAGGCCTCCCCTTGCCTTCCTGCTGCTCCAGCATCTTTACCCTCCTGGCAGAGCTCCAGCAGGACCCTGAGCAGGTGGGAGAAACCTCTGGTGCTCCGACACAAAAATGTCTGGTGTTTGCCATCACCACTGCAGCTCGGGATGGCTTCAGCCTTCCTGAACAGGAGAAGGGAGAGCAGGGCTTTTGTGGAGTTGTATCTTACTATAAACACCTTCATTTGGAAAGTGKCCCCCTCCTCCCAGGGAGCAACACTCCAGGTGAGGTGGGAGGTGTTTTAAGGCTTGTGCTTCACTTGAATCCCACGAAACTGGAGAGATGTGAAACCCACAGGGCAGAGGGAGAGCGTCAAGGCAAACTCTGAAAGCATTGCCCTGGCAGGATGGTCATACCAGTTTGAAGACCTGTGAGCCTTTTGCTGAAATAATTTCCAAAGGGAGCTACTTTTGGGATTCATAGACAACTTTACCAGCCCAGTCAATCTGTGGCTAAATTTTATTTTTTAGTAAAGCAAATGTACCTGCATTTGCTGTTGTAAGCATGTCTTTAGCATAACATTCCTCARTATGGTGCTGTCCCAGGTCTGAAAAGAAACCCAGTGAAACAGTAGCTTTGCCAAGGGGAAGGTTTTTAAAGTCATACATGCAGGTGACAGCCATGTCTCACTGGAGTCCAAGCATCCCTGGGTGCCARAGTTCCCTCAGTGCTGAAGAGGAGCTGATGACATTTGAGAATCCTTGAGATTTCCCTGGTTCAGTACCTGGATGCCTGAAAAGAACATGGACCTTCAGAGATGACTTCTTACTCTCTGCATTCTGGAAGATGTTCTGGTGATGTCAAAGGAAGCAAAACCCAATTTTGCCAGCGAAGGACTAAAGGTGAGGGGAGGGCTGAGTGTTGTCATTGCAGTGGCACAAAGGGCATCAAGGATGGCAGTTCCCCCAGTTTATTCACAGTTCTGCTCACCTGCCACAGCAGGGATCTTAACAGAGTGTAACCATGGCCTGCCTATCGCAGTAAGGAGAGGAGCTTTTTGCTACAGCACTAATGACCTTTATAACACTGGATCATGCTTCCCTTGGCTGGTTATACCAAACTGGCTGCCTTTTAACTCCAGTGTGTGATCAGGTCAGCCAAAATAAATAAA